CGCTCGGTGCTTTGGCATTGGACAAGTTCTCATCCATGCCTCAGAACCTTTCTTTTCTTTCGCTTTGAACATCTTTTACTTCCGCATTTCAGATCCGTTAATGGGTCATCCTTGGTCATCACCGACGCACCGGGTTTATAAAACTTGGGCCGTCACAGGGGTTCAACCCGTGTAACCTATTTTTATGCATTTAACTCAACATGTCATAATCGTCAATATGATATGAGTACATGTTACATGTTTAGAGACCTAATTATTATAAACAATTAAGTCATTTCAACATAAATTCTGATTTCGCCTTACGATTTTTACTTGAACATTTGTGTTCTATTTACTTGGTTATAAGGCACTTGAATTTTTTTTTTTTTTTTTTTCTTTTTCTTGTTTTGAATATTTGGGTTAATTGAGACATATTGATTTTTTAGTATTTATTGTTTGATTGAGTATTAAATATCTCATTTCAGTAAATAGGTTATTAAACACGTTGACACGTGTAACCCATTTAATAAATGAGTTGGGTTAGTGTTGAACGTTCTGACATGATTATTAAAAGGGTCAAGTTTAAATTTCACGAATTATGACCCCTAAAAAAAATCTATTTAGTAACCATGTTTAGGTACAATATTCCCGAGACAATAAGAATTGTACATGTACACAAGGGCGGAGGGAGCTTGTGCCTGGGGGGCACATGCCCCCCTTGAAATTCTGATTTTTTATACTATTATATGCATATATTTTTTAAAGTTCAAATATCCCCCCTCAAAAAAAATAAAATAAAAATAAAATTTCACACAAATCAGTGATAGGATGAGGTGATTTTGTCATTCACCTACTAAAGCCCAAACAATCACTATTTTCTGGAAGTGTCGTATAATTTAAAATATATTGTTTTATTTTTTTACAAAGTCCAAAAGGTTAAAGTTGTATAACCAAAAGGCCAATACATGACCATTGGACAGAGTAAATGTAAGGGAATCGTAGCACATAACAAGGGAATCATTTAAATAAATCCATTATCTAAAAATTAGTCATAGCCTATAACAAATTTGCATTGCTCAAAAACGAAATGCATCTCCTCCGGTGGTGCCTTCATTTAGGCGAGGCAGAGCTTGGGAGAAGCTCAGGCCTCTGCATCTAAAAGTGTCTGAAACTCCTCACTCCTCGTCCTCTTTTGTACACTCTCTGCAATCAAAAAATTGTTTATGTGTTTGATACTTTTGTTTAATAAGAAGATTGATCCATGTTTGTTGTGAATTTTAATTTTTTATTTTTTTTATTATTATTTTTTTAATGTGAACAGTGTATATTTATTATGTTAAGTCGATTTTTTTTTTTTCCTCCTATCAATTACACTGCGCCCCTAAAAGACAATCCTGACTCCACCTTGCATGTACATCAAAACAAAAAGACATTGCAACCCAAATACTTAATGTAATGTATGGGAAACATGTTACATGAGCAACATTTCTAAGAGAAACATGGTACATGAGCAACATTTCTAAGATGAGGAAGATGTAAAGGGTGAGAAAAATGTTCTTTTGAAGGAATCATATCAATTCAAATTATAAGTAACATAAAAGAATCAAATCAGCACAGAATATGACTTTTGGCTTGGATGTATAGAACCGCACTAAAATTGAAATGAAATTATTAAAGTTACAACCGTTTAATAATTTAACTTTTTTAGAGTTGATAGTTATTAACAGAAAGAACCCTACCAAGAAACACTATCCAATCGATTTGAGCATGTGACAATCCTATTATTGGCACATAACATGTCACATAAATTCCAATACGTAATCATCTTGTGATAAACTTCTTTAGTAATACTTAGGTTTTCAAGATACTACTTTATGTACTATTGTCCTCAATCAACTTCTTTTATGTAATATTCAGATATTTCTTGCTCCTTCCACTTCCAGGCCCAGGCCTAGGACCAAGGGCGGTTGACCTATCAATGGGTGGGGTGGGGTGGGGTGGGGTGGGGTGGGGTGGGCCTAAAAAATTGTGAGGCCCAACCGGCGTTGCCGATTTATGGACTTTCTAACAGGTTGGACTTACTGGCCTGTTAATGAGCCTATATTGGACCTAAAATGGATTAATTTAGGCCTAGCTAAGCCTAACTGAGCTGAGTTTAAACTGAAACTATAATTCAACTAAACTCAGGTTAGGAGAGTTTGTAAAAAGAATTCTAGAATACAGGTGAGTTTGTAAATAACCAAAATATCTACAATGTTTTGTTGAGAATTCTATAGAATGTTTATCTGGCTTACCCTTTTAATGGATTCTAACCGTCGATTGAGGATATGAAAGCCTATAAAAAAAGGTTGGAAATTAGCGAAACTCGATCTAAGTTATATAGCGTCTTAAATTATCACCTGAAGAATTATAGTTTATGAGGTATGAACTGCAAGTACCACATCAAAATGTGATAATCGATCATCTGAATGACTCTCTTATTCTCGTTTTAATCCATCATCTTGATGTTTTTCTAGTTTCCCAGATCATATAATTTTGTGTGTAATTTGCGAGAACGGAAAAAGACAGTGAAATATCTGATACTATCATTTTAAATGGAAGTTGATAATTTCATATTTATTGGGGTGCATCCTTATTAGATGTGTTAAATTCAGTTATAGGTCTAAAAACGTAATAAGTAATTTAGTTATAATTCAGTTAAAAATTTAAAATTTTAAGATATAATTTTTCCAATAAAAAAAGTATATAGAATTTAATGAATTATATGTCAAACGTGGAACAGAAAAAAAATAATGAATTATATGTGTAACACATATACTTTTACCATGGAATATATCACTTGGCCAAAATCTAAAAAAATAATAATAAAATAATATAGCATATATGGTATAAAATCTATACTTGACCCCTCTTAAGAAATTTTTTTTTTTCTTCCTTTAATTAGCATTTAACAAAAAATAGTTTATATATAATCTAAAAGAAAGTGATTTAATTGACAACCATAGAACCCTATAAAAACTAATTCACATAAAAATTTAATATTTATTGTGGTTATCTTAAAATTTTAACTCAAACACGGTTCTTTCCATAATGTGATTATCTTAAAATCTTTCCAACTCAAGTTTGATTTTTTTCATAACCTTATTATCCTAAAATTTCCTCTCATACATCATTCTTTCTATCACTTTTTTTTTTTTTAATTCTTTTTATTTATTTATATTGGAATGCTTTTATAAGAATTCTATAAGAAATTAATATTTATAAAATCTAGAACAAAAATTCCATTTGAAGTTTTGAATATCAACAAAAATCGATGTTTTAAGAATATAAATTATTATTTTATTACTTTGTTTTGTTTTGTTTTTGTTTTTTTTTTTATTTTTATTTTTTATCATTGTTATTGTTTTGTTAAATTTTCAATTGTTACTTTTTTTTTTTTTTAAAAAAGTTATTTTTGTTTTTCTTCTTTTCGGTAAATAAAGAGAGTTATTTAATTGAATAGTTTTTTCATAATTTTGGCATAAATCTTATTTGTGTTTGTTCAAAAAGTTTGACAAAAAAAAATTTCTTTAAATTATTAGTTTTTTTATTTAAATAAATTGGGAAAAGTTTAGATAGATATATTTTTGTATGAATATAATAAATAGTAAAATATTTTTGCCTACATAATAAATTTTTTTTTTTTTTTTCAGAAGTTTTAGCTAGGTAATATTGTTTATAATTTTGGCTTCACCAAACTCAAGATCCTGGCTCCGCCTCTCCTAATCAACATGAGATGGGCTAGCTGCAAAAGATATGTTTTTTTTTTTTAAAAATGATCTCCACCCAATTGAATCTACACTTCATAATCAAAACAATGAATGTTGCTGAGTAATTGTAGAAAAATATTAAGAAAGAGAAGCATCGGCTCCATTTTGCAAAGAGTTTTTGATTTCTTATAAAACAGAAGTAAAGTTTTTACCCTTTTTTTTTATAGCTACAGTAGCGTAAACAAGCGAAAACATATTTTTGTTACTTTTAAATGTGTATTTTTTTTTTCCCCTGAAACAAGTGTAAAACTATGCCTAATTTAATAAATGTTACAAAAACATACTTTCATGGTTTGTTTTCATTTTAAAATTAGTAGTATTTTGAAGGTGTATATATGATTTAGTTAGACAATGTTTATCATCTTTTCATTAATTAGCAAAAGAAATGATGACATTAGTGGTTTACAGAGGAGATTAAAGTCCTTTACAATAAGGAGAACTTATAATGTAAATATTTCTTGACACACCATATGTTACTTCAATCAAAATTTAAGTAAATATTTCTTTTTTCATTCTTGTATAAGCAGCAATAAATATTATGAAATAAATTTCTTGATCTATATCACGCGTTTTTGTTTTCCATCTCAAAACTGTCAGTATTTTCTAATATTTTTATATAAATTCTCCTAAATTAATTTAGTAATTAATTAAAATAGTTGACTGATATATTGTACTTTATATTTTAAGATTCCTTGTTCCGCATAATTTCTATATATATTCGTCCTTGTTTGACAGAATTTACTTAAATATATTAGGAAATTCATCTCATCCAGACAAAAACTTATTTTGAGCGGCTCTTATAACAAACAAAACAAAACTATCTCTCATATCAAACTGACATAGAAAATCATCAAGGTGGTTGGATGCCTACTCCGGGCACATGTACCCAAATTGATATCTAAGCAACAAACTCCATTCAATTACGACACATTTTATCAATCCCCAAGATGCAAGAAAACATGATTTTATATTACAAAGGGATTTTCTCGCACTCCAAACAATCTGCCTCTTTTTCTTTTATTCATCTGTATTTATATAAGTTTACATTTACATAGGGCCGGCTCTGAGATTGAAAAAATCTTGAGAGGCCCTAGGCGAACTTTAAATGTGAGACCCTCTATACATAAATTTCACATGCGCAAAAAAAGAAAAAAATAAAAATAAAAATAAAAAAATAAATATATATATATATATAAAAGTGCAAAATTTTCATTAAAGTAAATGTGACCGTCTTGCATTTTGAGTTACAAAATTATCAATTAAAGTGTTCAAATCAACTTTCTCCAACACATCTTTTTCAATAGACAAGATAACCAATCCATTCAATCTCTCTTGTGTCATCATCGACCGCAGGTAAGATTTGATTAACTTCAACTTTGAAAAGCTTCTTTCAGCAGATGCAATTGTAACCGGGATAGTCAATAATATTCTATATGCAATCCAAGCATTTGGAAAACAATAATCTAACCTTTTTATAAAATCCAATACTTCAATTGCCTTTTTTGTTTCTTTTGGTAAAGCTTCTCTTAAGACTTGTAGCTCTAAAGATAATTCAGTCCCATCAATATCAGAAACCATGTCATGTTTTAGAATATTTTCAAGGTTATGATATGAACACTTTAAACTATCATTATTTAAAGACTTCAACCTCTCCAAATTAAACAAAAATCCAAAAGAGTCATCATATTGTTGAAATTGTTCAAATCTACTCTTTAGTGAAGAAAGAGCTTGATCAACTATGTATATAAAGTAATTAATTTTAAACGATTCTTCGGCCGATTGTGTCCTCTCTTCATTAGCACTCTCGTCAAATTGTTTCTTTCTACAAATGACACGTCTTTCACGGAATAATGGTTCAACTTCCATTTTAGTTGCGATCTCTTTAGCCTCAATCATAGCAGATTTAAACCCATTTTCTCTATAAGTTTCAAAAAAAGAAATGAGTCCTTTTAAGAGATCTATAGCAACATCAATTTGCATGTCCTTTGTTTGCATGATTTTGCTTACTTTGTTAATAGCATTCAATATATCAAACCAAATAACCATGCCAAGTAAGAACTCAAAATTCTCAATTTCATATGTAGCTAAGCACTCAGCATCACTCTTTGTTTTGGGATCTTCACTAGTATTTGCTAAATGAATTAAAACATTTCTTATATCTGGAGCTTGAAATCTTATTACTTTAACACTTTTAAATTGACCTTCCCAACGTGTTTGTGATGGTGGCTTAAGTGTAAAACCTTTAACATTGTCTGTGAGAACTTTCCATTGCTTTGTGGAAGATGAAAACAATGAATACATGCGTTGCACAACTCCAAAAAAAGATGATGCTTTAGAACAAGAGTTTGCCATATCACAAAGTGCAAGATTAAGACTATGACAACTACACGACGTATAGAATGTTTTAGGATGTTTTAGGATTTATATTTAGTAATCTTTTTTGTACACCTTTGTGTTTCCCTTTCATATTAGAACCATTATCATACCCTTGTCCTCTTACGTCACCAATATCAAGTTCAAGAGCTTTCAAAGCATCTACAAGTTCATCAAAAAGCCCTTTCCCTAATGTATCATCCACCTTTAGAAATCCTAAAAAGAACTCTTCCACATTTATCGGACTTGCTGAAACATTAACACATCTTAATATAAGTGACATTTGTTTTTCATGACTTGCATCCGGAGTACAATCGAGAATAATTGAAAAGTATTTTGCTTCTTTAACCCTTTTAATGATTACACATTTGATTTCATTCGATATCTGAAGAATAAATTCATTTTGAATTTTGTGACTAAGATAATGGTAATGAATTTGTTTATCTTGAATTCGACGAATGTGCTCTTTCATTATTGGATCAAATTTAGCAACCATTTCAATTATGCTTAAAAAGTTTCCATTATTTTCTTCATAAAGCTTCTCATTGTCCCCACGGAATGCCAAACTATTTATAGCAAGAGTTTTCACAACGAAAATTATTCTCAATAATACTTGCTTCCAATGTTCTCTCTCTTTGTTGATTTTTTCTTCCACACTTTTATCGATTGTTGCATTTTTTTGTAATCTAATTTCTAATTCAATCCAATGCCCCATGTTAACAATATGTTCACAACTAGTCTCGTGACTTTTAAGTTTATCACTAAGATTTTTCCAGTCATTGACTCCTTCATTTGTCAAATGAGTTTTTTGTTCGTCACATTTAAACAACTTACAACAAAAGCAATAGACTCTGTCTAAAGAACTCGAATAGATTAGCCATCTCCTATCATGTTTTTCACCATTTGACAAGTGTCGAATGCAATATGTAGAAGAGAAATGTCTATTTTTTGAAAGTTTAGCATCTCCTGGAGGACCTTTTTCAACTAATAAATCTCTAATTTTTTTTTATCAATATCTTTCCAATTTCCTAGATCATTAATGTTCAAAAGAAGATTATCATTCTCATTCATATATTCTTCATTTATCAAATCTTCAACTTCATTCACATTTTCTTTATTTTGATTCTCATTCATATCTTCATTTATTAAATCTCCATGTTCATTAAGATTTTCTTCATTCCTATGTTCTTCATTCACCAAATCATTAACTAAACTCTCAGTTTGTACATTATTCCGAAGAAACTTATGAATAGTACCTTTTTGAGATTAAATCAATTCTTTTTTTTTTTTTTTTTTTTTTTTTTTTTTTTCATACCCAGATTCAAATTTTCTTGTAGACATAATTGTCAAAAATCTTGAAATCTTAGAAATCTAAATAACAGGAAACACAATCAACATAAAACTAAACTTTAAAAAAAAAAAAAAAAATGCTTTGCTGAAAGAAAATATAGATTACCTCAATAGCTCAATGATATGTCTTCAAGTGAAGAATTGCTCATAACTTGTCTAAATGATATGATTTACAGAAAAAAAACAAAAATACCTCGTGAGATGTCTAAATAATATGTCTTCAAGTGAAGGATTGCTGGATTGGAAGTTTGGAACTCCTGTATTACAAATTTACAACAAATTCATTGAGTTCATAGTTCACGTAGAAGAATAAGACAAATTAAATCAAAATAACAAATTTCACTAACAACGGGCCTAACAAAGAGGCCTAATATTGCTTTTAGAAGCATCAAATGATCAAAATATAATGATGGTATGGGAGAAATCTGTCTAAGACTCCTATTAATTTTTATTTTCTATTTTCTATTTATTTTTTTATTTTTTTTATTCCTAGCATATTTTTCACCTGGAAGGTGATTTGATCTACGAGGGAATCAAAGAGATGACAACCAAAGTCCCATTTCAAAGCTACCTCATTGTTTCGTAATTTGTTTGGGCTAATTTTAGGAAGGAGTTTATGAAGGTGCTGTCCACTTGGAAGAGCTTAACATCTTGTTAAGTAGAAGGTATGTTTTAATTCCTCTACCATATATGTCATTCACTTTGTGGCCATTCATCTGAAATTCAGTCCTTTGGGGGTTGGAAAAAGTGAAAAGATTGGCAGTTTAATAATATTGCTTATAATGTTAGCAAGTAATCACTTGTCAAAATTCAACAGTTGTCCTGAATATTGGGACGAGCGGCTTCAAATGGAGAGAATAGAGCGAGTTCGGCAGGCAAAGGAGCATTGGGAGTCCCAATGTCGAGCATTCATGGGTGTCTAACTAAATAGGCAAAATACTGATCGAGGACTAGTCTTGTCAACACCGTTTTCTTTTAATTGATGGGCTTCCCACTGCACACAAACTATATTGATATTTGTCGCTGGTGCAACTACATAAATTCCAATTGTTAAATATCACTATTAGAATTTAGAAAGCACATACCCAAGAATGGCAAGGAGGCAGATTCTCCAGAGAGAGAGATTGAATGGAGGAAGTGAATTTTCCTGTAATTAAAGATTCAAATAATTAATAAGACACATTTAGTGTGTGTCAGTGTGTTTGTATATATAATATATATGTGTGTATGTGTTAGAAAAAGTAATGGAATGGGTGAGAGAGAAAGAGAGACATGTGGAAGAAGAAGGCAAAGGGCAAGCCGGCAAGAGAGGAGATGATGTGATGACAGTGATGTTTTCAATTTTCTGTTTTGAACTTTTGATTTTTGTGTTGCAATTGTAGTCTTCAGTCTTGCAGAGACACACACAGAGAGAGAGAGAGAGAGAGAGGGTAACGGGTAAGCTTGAGAGTTGAGAGACTGTTGCAATTCTTGAGAAGAAGAAGATAATGGCGGTTCAGATCATCAGATGCTTTGCTGGCATTTTTCTTTTGTTTTTTTTTTTTGTTTTTTTGTTTTTTTTTTTTTTTTGAGGCCCTTTAATGGCTTAATGATTTGTTTATTATTATTTTTATTTATTTATTTTTTTTGTGGCCCATCATTCATAGGCCTATAAATTTTGAGGCCCTTTAAAACATTTGCTGCATCTGGTTAAATTTTTTTTTTTTTTTTTGGTGGTCTATCATGCATGGGTCTCAAAATTTTGAAGCCCCTTAAAATCTGAGACCCTAGGCGATCGCCTTGGTCGCCTTGGGCCAGGGCCAGCCCTACATTTACACTAAAAACTCTCTTAACTCTCAACCTTGGGAGTTGATGGGCCAGGTTCTCTCCTTTCAGCCTGTTTGGTTGGGGGGGTACCCTTGCCGTGTACACGGTTGGGTCAAGGCGTTGCCAGGCCTCATCTTTGACTGAGTTGGCTGAACTAGTTTCGGCCTAATGGGGTCATTGGATCTTATAGCTGGGTTGAGGACAGGTTTACTGGGCCATAACGAGGCCCAATTTCCTTCTAATACTACTAGGTCGGCCCAAGGCCAATTCGGTCCCTTCACCCTCCATCGCCAATAATACATGAAGATGGATCAAGAATATATATATATATATATATATATATATTTTTTTTTTCTTTCTATTTTTGACACGAAATATAGTTATTACTGCCAGTTTTTTATTCTAGAAAATATTTTAAAATGAAAATAAAATCACAAATTTTTTGATCACGCTATTGTGTTAATTTTCATATCATTTTCTACTACAAAATAAAATATACCCAAACAATAAGAAGGGTTGTGAACTTGCGCTCGAGGCACCCATATACTTCAAAATGATATGCCCCCAATTGAATATTACATTACATATACATCAAAACAAAAAGATCTAAACCTGCATTTCTTCCACACAAGGCATAACTTTGCTTCAATTCTTCTAAGCATGTTAAGAACAGCCCATCCCTAGATCACACCAATGAACCACAGCTACTTGCATGCTTCTTCCCAGTGTGTCGCTGTGGAAAATTTACGCACGTCATTGTCACGTATAGAAAACAAACAAATTGATGACTATAAACTACCATATTGTAGAACTTCCAAAAAAACAACAATATTGTAGGCCCACATTGTTCCAAAGGGTGAATTAAAAAATATAGATTTAAAATATAACCATGCGAATTGAAAGGTAGACTAACGTTATAAATGAATTTCTATAAGGCCTTGTATAGAATTTCATAGAATCCCCACAAATAATGGGTTTAGATATCTGATTACCTTAGAAATAAACTTCTACATAATACGAGTTTTGAAATGATTCTTTGAAGGAGATTAAAAATAAAAAACCCTTTTTTTTTTTATAGTGTCTTCAAGTATGTCCATCAATTATATTGATAAGATCGGGAAGCCAGTTAAGGCAAGGGCATGTCTTAGATATCCCTAAAGCATCCGAATTATCGCGATTATTACATTATAAGATCCACTGAAGTTTCTCAAAAATTGTTTAAGAATTTTGAAAATAGACAATCGGGTTACGAATAGAACCAAGTCAAGTTGAACTTTAGTCTGTTCGGACTCGAGCTCCGGCTCTAGCTCATTTCTCTGTGGTTCAGCTTGGGATTGTTATAAGGTCAAGAAACTAAGTTGGAGCTCGGCTCATCATTGTTTTGAAAAGTTCGAGCTCAGCTCGACTAGGATGGAATTATTTAATGAAAAAAAGAAAATATCACTACCATATTCGTGTTCAAGCTCAGTAAAGCTTGTGTTCAAGATTGTTTTGACTTGTGTATTAACTTATAAGAGCCTACACAACACTAATTTAAATTTTTTATTTTTTTGTTGGTAAATTTAACCTAGGACCAATAACACAGTAGTTACATGCTCTACCAACTCTGCCACGTTCATATTGTTGTGTAGGTTCTTATAAGCAAGGTTGTTAAAATCGGGATTCTACGTAGAATCGTTTTGGGCTCCGTAGAATCGGAATCGTAGAATCGGATCGTGAATCGTAAAATTCTACCAAATTGTGAAAAAATAATTGAAAGTAACTTCCTAAACAATAAGATATGTAAAATATAACCAAAATAAGGCCAAAACATACCATATTACATATCCATGACTTCAAATCTCAAATCCTAACAATATTTTAAAGTCCGAATATAAATAAAAGTAAAAGAAAATATTCCAAAGTCTGAATATAAATAAAAGAGGATGTAACACAAAATAAAATAGTCCATAAATCTCAAATCCTAACTCATCCCTCTCTAAAGTTAGAAACTAAAATTACATATCCATAAAGTCATCATTGAACCCTGCACCATCTTCCTCATTAGCTTCATCAATAGGATTTAATGGCTGCAAATCTTCATTATCATCAATTGCATAAATTTCCTTAACTACAAAGCATAAAGAAAGAACAAAAATTAATATAATGTAATAATTTATACAATATTATAATAAAAGTTTAAAATTTAAGTTCTTACGTGTCCTAGTCATCCTTTCTACTTCATCTTCTTCATCGGAATCATCTTCTTGAACTTTGTCATCAAGAACCCTCAACCATTTAGTTTTTGTTGGAAGAACCGGATCCTCTTTTTCGGTAATCCATTCATCATCGGAAGAGACATCTTCAAAAATAATTGGTTCTATGACGGCTTGTCTTTTCAAGTTCCTCTCCCTCAATTTTATGTTATACATAACAAATACCAAATCATTCATTTTCTTTTGTTGCAACCGGTTTCTCCTTTTTGAATGCACCTAAATATATTACCAATGAGGTTAAAACTTAAAATTAAACAACAACATTATTAAAATTTTAGAACTATGCATTATTCAGTAATTTACCATCTCAAAGGCACTCCAATTCCTTTTACATCCCGAAGAGCTACATGTTAAACTCAATATTCTAATTACAAACCGCTTCAACTCGGGGCACTCATCACCATATGAATCCCACCATTCAGCTATTATATTAAAAAAATTATAACATTAAAGTTAAAACTATTCAATTTTCAATTGACATTTGAATTACGAAATATAATAAATTATCAAATATCAATATTGCATTTTCTAACCTGGAGACTTCTTGTTCCTTGTCAATATTGCATTATCTAGGCCAAAGAGCCCTCTTGCAGCTTTGAATGTGTCCATTTGGCAATCAATTTTTACTCTCTCATTAGAATCAGGAACCATTCTTTGGAGACATTTATAAACTCCTATTTTCACATCTGCATCTAAATGGAAACTTGGACTATATTGGAATTGGGGATTCAGAAAATATGCTGCCGCATGCAAGGGTTGATGAAGTTGAGATGCCCATCTTGCATCAATGATCGTACAAATAGGTTCATACCTACAAAATCGTTAATTTAATGTAAGTCTAATAATTTTCAGTTTAACTATTTACAAACAATACTATATTCTAAATAATAAAAAACTCTATTACTCTTTTAGTTTTTAAATAAATTAAAACTTTACCACTTTTTGATGCCATTGAAGTTTTTCTTAATTTCCTCCTTGGCACGATCCATTGCTCCATAAATGAATCCCATAGCCGGTCTCTCATCAGAATCCACCAATCGGAGTACTTTAACAAGAGGTATTGCAGCTCTTAGACAATTGGTAACATTTGTCCAGAAGTTACGATTGTCTAAAGCCACGCCTTCAACTCTTTTCCCTTTACGTGTCCTTGCAAACTTACTAGACTTCCACTTAGAGGATGTAAAAAGATTCATCAATTCTCCTTTTAGTTGATTAAGACGCTACAAAGTTAAGTAAGAAGTGGCAAATCGCGTCACTGCAGGTCTAATAAGCTCCTTGCCATTTGTGAATTCCTTCATCCAATGGTTAAGCATACACCTTGAATAAATGTATGAAACAATCATCCTTCCATCTTCAATTGTCTCACTATGCATCTCAATTTTTTTCTCAAAATCCTCCAACATCAAATCAATGCAATGAGCGGCACAAGGTGTCCAAAATAATTTTTTCCTCTTTTCCATCAACATCTCTCCAGCCAATTGGTAGTTAGAAGCATTATCAGTCACAACTTGTACAACATTTTCTTTTCCAACTTTTTCCACAATCTCATCTAACATTTCAAAAACCATTTGGCCAGTTTTTGAAATATCAGAAGTATCTCGGGATGACAAAAAGATAGTTCCCGATGGGCTATTGACAAGAAAATTACATATTGAACGTCTCCTCCTGTCAGACCATCCATCTGACATAATAGTACATCCAGTCTTCACCCATTCTCCTCTAAAATTCTCGAGTATATTCAATGCTTCACTCACTTCCTTCTTTAAGAATGTCTCTCTAATTTCATGATAAGAAGGAGGATTGAGCCCCCTCCCATACTCTCCAATCCTTTTAATCATAAGAGGAAATATGGGATTGTTCACGCAATTGAATGGTATAGCACTGGTATAAAAAAATCGGGCTATGATTTGACATACTGCATCTCTCTCTTCCTTTTTAAATTTCTCATTCAATGTTGTTTGCCGTGATGAATTCTTTGTTACAAATCCATCCATTGCACCACCTTGCTTCCGCTTCTTTGATTATTCTAAGGCTATACATTCACTATCATCATCATCGATATCAACATCATATAAGTTTTGTTTCTTCTTCTTTTGACTTTCCTCTGAATGAGCTTGAAGAATTTTTTGAAATTGTGTTCTCACTTCTTCGGGCACTTGTGGACACGGCTCAACATTTAAATGAGTGCCAGCCAAGTGATGTTTATGCCGATAAATACCCCCAGAATGGGAAGTGTTGCAATACCGACACTTCACTTTTTTTGAAGTCCCATCCTCAACCCCATGTTCCCATCCCGAATCTAATCTTTGTCCCAGAGCATTTTTTCTTGTAGTTTTACCAGAACTTCCAGTTGATGACATCTATTTCAATATTCATATAATTCAAGTTATTCAACCAATCAAAAGTTTTGCATTCATATAATTCATATAACTAGTTGGCAGGATTAGAAATACGGATAAGAAAGCAGATCAGGTGTATTAAGCCTTAGGCCTGCTTTTCCTGCAACAAATTAATTAAATTCACTACACATATATACTTCTTAATTTGAAGCTAGAACTTACTGTTTGTGTGTGTGTGTGTGTGTGTATATATATATATATATATATATATATATATTCTGTAAAATACTAAAATCATGGAGCCAACAGAAAGTTATGTATTAACTAAGATTAATCCTGAGGTACATATATATATATTAAATATAAAAAAGGGTATATACGATTGTGTGTGTGACTGTGTGCTTAGTTTAGTACCTTCTCCATAATTTCCTCTTCTGTGCGCTTTTCTTCCCAACACCAAAAACAACACCTACTCAGTTCCTCACTTCGTTTCATGTTTCTACTGTAGAAAGAGCTGTATGGGCGGCTACATAGAGAAGAGGAGAGACACTAGGATTTCACAACACTTCTCATTCACATCACAACTCAATTCAACTGTGTTTGTTCTATCTATATCCCCATATTCCCTCTCTCTCTCTACCTCATATCCTCTTTCTCTCTCTAGACCGTGCTCTTAGGTTTCTACCAATGGAACTTCATTCTCTCTTAGGTTTGAGTTTTGTAATAGTATTATTGTTCCATGAATTGCTCGTCTTTTTCTCTATTTTTTTTTCCTTAATCCATTATAAAAATATTATATTATGTACTTGTGATGGAGAGCTAGCCATTATAAAAAAAAACTGATTTCATTGAATAAATTATGCATATGCATAGCTTTGCTTTTAGATCTGTTCTCCTCTTCATCTCTCTTAATTTACCTCAACATTCCTCTATTTTACTGCCCTAAATCTACCTCTATTTTTTTTTTTAATTCAAAGCAGGTTTCCAAACACTAGAAATAAAAAATAATAATAAATATTCATCAAACCAGTCTATTCAAAATTATATATATATTCAAAACAGGATTTGAAGTTTTTATTATATCTTTGTGTGTATATATTTCCTATTATTTTTCAATTGGTTGAATTCTCTCCTCACTGTCATGGATCTTGTTCGGAATAAGAAGTATGTTGACAACCGCCAAACCAAAATCAACACCCACCATTGCCAAAACAGGCTTCCACTGCTCATAACAACTCATATTAATTAATTTTAAGCAATCTGATCGATCGATGGATTTCACCACTGATTAAGCCGCGCCCCTCTTCTAGCTTAGCTTGTTTCTGTTTTCTTTGGTTTTAAAATGTATTGCAGACTTGCAGTTAGACATACATATATATATATATATATATATATATATATATATATATATATATTATATAAATGGAAGGTCCTCCATCCCAAAAGCACTGGGAATATATAGATCGAGATGCTTAAAATCTCAAAATCAAATCATACCTTTTAAAGAAATGCAATTAACTTTGCAATTCTATAACATATATTAATTTTATTCTCTCTTTCTAGTTTCTACCCCCTAGCTTTACTGATTAGTAGTTGGAGATTCTAGAATCAATTGCTAATTAGTAGTTGGAGATTCTTGAAATTTCTTGATCAAGGAAGAAAATAAATATATAACATACCTGGCCAAACCTGTAAGCTGCTGTATGGATCCGATGATTCCGATCTGCAAGCTATGAGCCTCTGCCCTCTGCACTGCCGCCTCCTCTCAGTCCTCGACTCCTCACTCCTCTCTGAGATAGGGTTCGTTAACTTCGTTTTGTATTTTATGATTTATAAAATAAATAATTAAAATATATAATTTGGTAAATAAATTTTTATACAAAATTTGGGCCAGGCTTTGGCCCAAACAACTAAAAGAATAAAGGCCCAAAGACCAAATAGTATAAAGGCCCGCCCAAAGGCCCCAAACACACATTTTTGGTAGAATCGGTAGAATCGTATAGAATCGTACGATTCTAACAACGATTCTAACGATTCTACCTACGATTCTATCAATTAGGCGATTCTGATCCGATTTGAGTCGATTTTAAGAGCTGAGTCGTAGAATCGTGCGATTCTACGACTCAGAATCGCGATTTTAATAACCATGCTTATAAGTTAATGAACAAGCTTATGTTTAAAAATGCGTTCATGATCTTATGTTAATGGTGTAAGAAAATTCTAACATAAATAGAAACATGGTTCCAATGCATAAATTTGATAAAGAAGACATACCCGATATGAAAATCTATTTAAGGGAATTACATCGGAAACCTTACTTATATCATATAGGAGACGACCTTCAACCCTCTTATTGTTCATTGCATATATGATGATGGATTTCAGACTTCTACGCATATATATAGATGAGGGTTGGGACCGTTCCAGTAGACATTAAGAGGTGTGTTGGTTCTATCAACCAACACAACTCTTCATATGTGACTCTTCTTCAATTTAAGATACCTTTAGGAAATTATATAATGTAATGCACCTCAATTAAATAGGGTGCAACCTTTTAATCTAGGTCTAATAAAATTGTTAATATCAAAATAATTATTGTTAGATTATTATTTTGCTTACAAATGGAACACATTCGAATCTATATGAGCTATTGTGTTCACGAAGTTAGAGTCCACGAGCTGAGCCTGACAATGCTCGGATTTAACTCATTTACTAAGCAACGAGCTTGAGCCAAGCTTTGAACAAATATATTCCAAATTGTTCACGAACTATATAGTTTGTGGATGGCTTGTTATTATTGGATAATCTTGTTATGCTTGTCATTATTGGATAATCTTGGGGAGTTGGGGCTTGGGATGGGCTGGTTGCTTGCTAGTCTAGTGATTTGTTTTCTTTGTATGACTGGGTGTCTTATGAGGGCAGTACGTGGTTATTCAAATTATCAAGATCTCCTCGTTCTCCAGCTTTGTTGGGTTTCTGAGAGATCTGGCTTTTGTATATTTGTTTCTTGTGTGTGGGTTTTGGAAATGTTTGTTGCGTTTTGTTGTATTGATGGTGGTTTAGAAGAGTGATTTGTTTTGTAGTAGTTCTTTGAGGGTGATCCCTCTTGTTCTTTATTGGAGTTTGTTGAGTTAATAAAATGCGATTTAGGAAACCAATAAATAAATAAATGGCACTAGAAAACATGCTTATGCTAGAATCCATAATTTAGGTTCATCAATTAATGGTGCGAGCCTGCTCCACCTTATTGTAGAAATATTAGAACTGTAATATGGCTCATTAGTTCTACCTCAACTTCAAAACAAGATGATGACTGTTATATGTTTTCAAGTGCTACAGAGTATCAATGAGGATTCGAGTACTAATAAGTCCATAATGTAGGGTGAATAGGGGTTTCTTGATGAAGTCCTGTAAACTCCAACCGGAGGGAGGAGGGGATGAGGAAAATTGAGGGCCTCTTCGAACTCCTCACCATCAGAGCTGAGGGATCAATGTCCACAATCTATTAAATGAATTTGTCAAATCTGGAACTAAGAAGTGAATTAATGCGCTTTGCATCCACCTCAATAGTTCTTCAGGCAATTAATGACTCCATTAGGTTTAGATTAGCATCAGTTCAATCTCAGGGACAAAGCTAATGCTAGTTTTTAACCAGTTCATTAGAATAATAGTCCGGCTCCTTTCTTGTCATCTTGTTACATTCTTGTAGGATTCGAAGTAGGTGGGGTTTGGACTCTCGTGTAGCTATTATTCTTGTTTTGTGTGTGCATGCACTGATATTCTTTTAATTATATATTCTTATGTGCAAATGATATATTATACGCTGTAGTTATTGATTTCATGGTATCTTGAATCTTTGCAGGGAATTTACTGGAGGAACAATCACTGGTTGGAGGGTCATTCTAATAGCTGATGTTTAATCAGTGTAATAATATTTAGAAACTTTTACCTGTAGGCTGACGTTTCATCACCAGTACTACAATTTTCAAATGTGGGAAAAAAAAAAAATTACGATATTTCAATTCCTCACTAACATTTTCTTTGTTTTTTATATTTAGAAAAACATATTTTAAAACTTATCGACATAGCCAATTATATTCTTCTTTTTCAATATATATATATATATTGATATATATATGTTTCTTAATTAGTTTTATATTTTATTATTGTTTTGGAATTTCAAATAATTGTATTGATAAGGAAAATTATGTAGAAAGTCAGAAGTGATATCGCCAAAGAAACTCCAGGCTCAAGTCTAATCAAAATACATTGGGCTACAAAAGAGAAGCAATATTGGCTTTTTGGGGGCGATGAAAGAAATAATTGATTAGTCTTTTTTATTTTCAAAAAATATAAATTTAATAAAATTTTATAAATTAGCCGACATCATAGTGATTCCCGATAAAAATAAAAATACATGGTATCATCTCAGACTCCAATTGACAATTCATTAGCCTAATAATAGAAAATTCTGACCGCCTCAGCAAAATTGGGAAACTATTTCTTTTTGTTTGTTTTTATTTTTTAATGGGTGTTATCTGCAACTCTGGAATAGTTGAAAAACTTATTTTGCAGGTAAGGTCAAATTGTGCTACAAATTATATGGATGTACTGGTGACAGGAAAAGCAACTTAGTCTAACATTAAAAAATCTCA